CCCTCTGGGGTATCGGCTACTCCTCCCAGTTTGGTATCATCAGCAAACTTGCTGAGGGAGCACTCTGTGCCTTCATCCAGGTCATTGATGAATAAATTGAACAGGACTGGACCAAGGACTGACCCTGGGGGACACCGCTAGCTACAAGCCTCCAACTAGACTCGGCACTGCCGAGAGTTAGACTAATTAAATTAATTTTTATTACTGTGACGGTGATTGCTGCACTGTGATCATTTCTAGGACATGTGCCTGTTTCGGGTGTATTGTTGTGTCTAATGGTGCTCTCCAGGTCTCCAAGACAGCTCCTTAAGGTGTAACTGTCAATCACTTATCTGTTGCAGGGTCCAAATAAATGTATTTTCACAAAAAGCTGTTTACCGAAGGGGCAGTTGTTAGAATCTTTATGGGTGCCATGACACTGCTGTGTATCCCATTTAAGAATGTATTAATTTAAAAGCATGCAGAATACTAGGGTTTCTTTAATAGCAATCATTTAAGGTAGTAACTAAATCTGGTTAAGGAATTGACAATGTAGGAAGATAAGAATTTAGTAATAAAGAATGAGTGTATTCCCTCCCTGGTTACTACAGATTTCCCCCTTTCTCTGTAAGTTGCATATAAATATGTTATGGAGGATTTGGGAAAAAAATAGTGGCCTCTCTGGCTGTAATGCTTCAGAAAAATGTTTTGGAAATCTGGAAGAGATGTAGAGGTCTTTAAACTCTCCTTTGAGTGTATATAAACTGTCCATTCTTAGAATTCAGATAGCTCTGGATAGCAGTCAGTGTCATTCTTGAGAGAGCAATCTCTCACTTTTAGGTTTTGGAATCTACACTGTATAATTTGTCTTATTGTTTGTCTTGTTTTCTTGTCCCTTTCCCTAATTTTTTTTTAGTGAATGGAAATGAAAACACGAAATCTAGAAGAAACAGATCTCCATGCTCCACGTCTCGTGTCCTCCATCTTCGTAAAATTCCAAGTGATGTCACTGATGCAGAAGTCATTTCTTTAGGTCTCCCTTTTGGTAAAGTAACTAACCTCTTGTTGCTGAAAGGAAAACATCAGGTATGCTATTTTTAACATTTCAATATAAGAGCAGAGCTGAAGAAATATGATTTGTGTTATATGACCATTTTGGTATTGTGTTTGACTTAAAAGAATGGCAGTAAAATCTAAATATTCCACTGATTGCTCAAGATATTCTTATGTCAAATATAGAGGGATGTATTGATATTTATCCTAACAGTTTGTAATATAATTTTAGATTAATTAATTACCTACTAACAAGTTAATAATACTGTTTAACATTATATCCATTTTACATGAGAATATATAGATCAAGAACTTCATTGCCATTATTGATATTGACTATTGATTTATTGATATAATTATTGATACTGATAGAATACAGCTGCAGTGAAATGTCTTTCCTGATTAATGTCTTGCCTGAGTTCATTTCTAAGTGAAATAATAATAGTGTTTAACCTTTGTTTGAAATTTTAGTAGCATATTATATTTATTCCATCTCTTATATTTATTCCATCTCTTCCTTAATCATTTATTGTACTTAAAATAAATCATTTTAACGAACACCCCACGAATCAAATAGCCCCATAACTACACACACACACACAAATGCACATGTATTTTAATACTGACCAAAATACTGCTATACTTTAACATTAGTTTTTTTTTAGTGAGAATGGAATTGGGAATAAGCAATGCTTTGATGCTTTCTTCTCTCATGTAAACAAGAAACATTGAAAACTGCTATATATTCACTCCAGGCTTTTTTGGAAATGTCTTCTGAAGAAGCTGCTGTTACTATGTTGAACTACTATACTCCTTTTACACCTCATATCCACAGTCAGCCTGTTTTTATTCAGTTTTCCAATCACAGTGAACTGAAGACTGACAACCTACCTAATCAGGCTGTAAGTATAATATTTCAGTTTAAGAGGACAGAATTGCACGTGACTTGCATTAATAACGATTAAGCAAACTTCTTTCTGCTAATACTACACATGCAATCAACTTCTAAAAGGTATTGCTTTTCTTCCTTGCGATCTAAGCTTTCCATTCACTATAGGCAAAAAGTAGGAAGTGCTGTGAAGGAGCTCAAGCTGAAGAGTGGTCCATCTTGATGAGAGGAAATCAAGCAAAGGTAGCACGAGGCCTGCATGGATGAACAAGGAGGTCCTGACAAAACTCAAAAAGGAAGCATAAAAGAGGTGGAAGCAAGGACAGGTGACCCAGGAGACATACAGAAGCACTGCCTGTGCATGCAGGGAAAACCAAAGCCACCAGAGAGAATGCGAAGGGCAGCAGGAAGAACAGTTTTTCACAGTTTTATCAGCAGCAAAGGGAAGGCAAGCAAAAATATTGGCCCCCCTGCTAAGGAGTCAGGGGGAATGGTGATAAAGGGCATGGACAAGGCTGAGGTACCAGGTACCTTCTTTGCACCTTTACTGGTAGGAGCTGCCCTCAAGAATCCAAAGTCCTTGAGACCAAAGGCAAGATCGGGAACTGTGAAGGTTTTCTCCTGGTGGGCTAGGGAACACTTAAACAAAGTGGATGTGAGCTGGCCTGTGTCATGGGTTATCTTTGAAAAGTCCCTCCTTTTCCAGTCTGACAGCTGTCTACAATGACATGACTGGCTCAGTGAATGAGCGTGAGCATGGGATGTTATCTTGATTGGGGCTTTTGGCTCTGTGTCCCGTAACATCCTCCCAAACACTCCCAGACTGACAAAGTACAGGCTAGTAAGTAGCTTTGCTGAGAAGGACCCAGATGTGCTGATGTACAGTGAGCCCTTGCAGCAGCGCAAGCCAACAGCACCCTGTGCTGCAGTGGCATCTGGAGAAGAAAACTGGGAGAGACCTTGGCAATGTGTACACACAGCTGATGGAAGGAAGTATGGAAGATAGTAGTGCCTAGTGACAGGATGATAGGCAGTGGGCACAAAATAAAATCTGACTTAAACATTTTTAAAAAAATAGATTTTATGGTGAGGTTTGTTTAAAGGTTTATCCAACAGTGGAGCATACTGGCTGGAGAGGCTATGGAATAGCCAGCCTTGAAGATGCTGAGAATCTCATGGGACAAGCCCCTGAACATCCTATAGTAACTGACTCTGCTTTGAGTAGGGGAGTTGAACTAAACAGTCTTCAGAGTTCCCTTCCAGCATTACCAGTCATTCTATTTTAGCTGATCAGGGAATCTAGGTGCAGCTACCTTGCTTCTGCAAAGTGAGTGTGGAACTTGAGATCCAGCTGCAAAGGAACAGCTTCATAAGTAGGGAAAATCAGTTCTGCTAACAGTGATGGATGGACATTACTGAAAAAAGCAAACCTACCCTTTGTGTTCCTGCACGGTTGACCTTTTACTTCAAATCCTCTTGGGCTACCTCTTTCTTTTCTTTGTCACTTGTGAGACAGCTGTAGTAGTGTAACTTCAAAAAAGTTCACTGCTTCTTCTAGGAATTTCCCAGTTTGTATTCAGTGCTGAAGGCTCCGTTGTTTGCCATATTCTGCTCTAGAAACATAAGCATTAAGCACAATTTTTTATTCTTGTGGAAAAAGCATTCACATCTTCCAGGACGTTCTGTATGAATGCTTATGCCAGGACATTTGAAGACAGCCATCCTCTTTGCTGCCCAAACACAAAAGGTGTGAAACCAAGTGTGAGGGAACAAGTGTTTCTGTGTCTTTGTAGATGCTAAGAATCTCATGCTTTTCTTAGGAATTAACAGCTAGAATTAATGAATTCCTCAAGGCTCCCTCCTCCTGTCAGTTAACAAATGAAGAAGACTGCTACAAAATTGTTTTTCTGTCTTTTAGTAGTTCCAAGATTACAGTGCCAAGAGGCTATAGATAATGACTTCCTTAAAATATTTCTAGTATCTTTTTTTCCTACAATCAATTTTGCAGTAAACAGTTATTTTTCACTTTCCTAGATGGCATGTTGTGTCTTATAAATGTAGAATTAGATAGTTACATGATCAAAAAACATTATCCTTCCTGACGTTATTTTTCTTATGTAAAAAATAAATAATCATCGCCTTATGGAAAAAATATAGTATTTGTCTTTGGAGTTTTCAGGTATTTTTTTTCCTTGTTTGGGTTGACTTGGAGAGAATTATTTCTATGTAAAGAAGTCAAGCCAATTCCACACAACTTTTCTAGATAGCTTTCTGTGTTTAAAAATTAGATGATGTTTTTGAAATACAGCTTTTCTAATCATTCTGTAGTGTGTAAGATTCTGGCAGTAACATGCTACAGTGATTTTGAAGGAAACAGTGTGAAAGAGCTTTTGGCATGTGGTGGCTTTTACTTAGAGATGAGCTGAGTCCTTCAGGGAAGGAGATAGACAAGTTCGCCTTTGTGAAGAGGTTTCTCACGGTTATGATAATGTAATGGCAAATTGTTTTCTAGTCCAAACTTATTAAGAGATGGCCAGCTCAATTTTTACGGATTAAGTTTGCAAAAATGACTAAGTTCCAAATCTATTTCAGTACAAAATAAAGGGCTAGTTTCATTTTTTTTTTTTCTGAAACCTCCGTTGTTCCTAGAATTACATTTTAGCATTTGACTGCTAGAAGTGACATGGCCTTGTTTCATAAATGGAGAAGATATCTTGTCACTCATAACCTGTGTACAGGAGATGAGTCATAACTTTCCTCAAAGCCAAAGTCCATAAAAGCATATACCTAAGTCACAAAATTTTCAATTAGAAAGGAAGTTATAATTTCAAAAAATCCAAAAGTTTAATGTTTTGTTTGTGTATTATAGCACTAGTCTGATCATTGTTGCAATAAGGATTAAACAATTTGGGAAGATATAAACTGAGGAATATTTTCAGTGGGAGTTGCTCTAAAGACTTACAGCTCTGTGATTTGCTTTCTGGATGAGGTTTTTGACAGAAACTTGACACTAATAATACTTCATTTGTCATTAAATATAACAATATTAAAACTAGAAAAGCTTGAGGAATTCCTGAGGCAGTAGTTCTGTGAGTAACTGAGCTTGCCTAAGAGCAAGCCAAAAGGAGAGGGTCTGGCCCATCCTTCCTCCCGCCTCCAGCTGTGTGGCTCTTCTCTTTTCTTCATCTGGTCTGTACTGTGTCTCATGCTTACCAGATTCTCCTGAGTTATCCTGTCCATAACTTGGCAACAGAAAAAGATTTTTTGTTGTTTTGTTGCTGTTTGGTTAGTTGGTTGAGGGGATGGTTAATGCATTGAATTGAATTGTTGTGAAGGGAAGAATACAGCAGAATCTCTGAATCTCAGTAACATGATCTCTTAGATCGGGTCATTATATTTTAAGGAATTATACCCAGAAGCTCAGTTATCCTAGAAATGTGTCGTCTATTTCATTATTTCCAAATAACCATGGTACTGTGATTTCAAGAATGCTTTTTTATGCCTTTCAAAGCAAAAAAACTTTCTCATTTTTCTTTCTCTGAAGTAGAAAGTGTTTTTGTTATTTTTGGACATAGAGTCTAATTATAAAATTTGATAATAGAATTCCTTGGTCATTCTCAAGACTGCTACTTATGCTGTATTAGCAATGCCCTATTTTGAAATTAGGAAGTCTGGGTGACAGTGGTAACACTTAAAGCAGTTGCAGTTCAGTATTTGATTTTGTGATATTCATTTCCATAAAATATTTTTTGGTGCTTTTTTAAACTCTGGAGTGTTGAAGTTTTCAAAAAAAAAAAAAAAAAAAAAAAAAAACGTTAGTTTTGTTTGTTTGTTTTTATGTGTAAACTGCAAGACCTGGTACTGTGCCCTCTTTGGAATAAAGTTTGCTTTCTTTGAAGCAGTATTTATAGCAAAGTGCAAATCCCAGTCTGAACTGAATATACAAGACTCTTCTCCCAACTATCTTTCTACTTCACCAACTTCAGTTTCTCAAGTATAGGGTTTAGATGATCATCCTGTTCACCTATACCCTTTGCAGATCAAAAAGTTTAACAGTGCTATGGCTCGTTTCTGCCCCAGTCATTTCATTATGCAGTTGTTTTCAAATATAAGACTGACTCAGTACTGAAAATTACATCAGAGGGCAAATATTTATGCCATAGGTATTTTTGAATACCTGAATGCGTTCAAAAAGTGATATTGTTATCTCAAAATACTGCTACTTTTGTCATAAGTGCACTTATTTTTTTCTTATCAGTACACTTCCAATACCTGCAGTTGGAAAAGGACTTGCTTTTATGATCACTAAGAAGCTGTAGTTCAATGAAAACTTCACTGTTAACAGTAGTTTTACAATGTAGTTGTTCTGGGACTGCATAAAGTACATGCAACTGTCTATAATACTGATCTATATGGAAAATACTCCATTTAGCAATGCTAGGTTCTAGAGACAAATAGGCCAGATAAATTACTTAATCAGGCAAACTGTTTTGACCTCTTCACAGTTTTCTGTATGCTGTGAAATCTCTCTTCTGGAGGCTTATTTTGCTTTAGTGAAATGCTTTTGCAATGTTTTTACTGTTTAAATCTTTTCTCAGCCTCTGGCCTAAGTTATCTTGGCATGCTTATATTTTATAGATTTAATTTTCTGTAGGTTTTCTTATATTCAATGCTCTTAGGATAGCTGGTTACTGATATTACAGTTAGTAGGTGGTTACAGTATGTTTTGAAAGACCTTTTCTCATTCTTAGGTTTTAACATTAAGTAACAGCTCTCAATAGTTTCAAAATATGGAGAGCAAGCCTTCTCCAATAAACTAGTTTCACTAAGTAATGAGGATTTTTTTCCTGCTTCTTTAACACTGCAACAGTAGCATATATATCACAAGGATGCATTATTTCATTTTCTTAAAGTAAAATTCTTATCTTGTGGCTGTAGATGTTATCTATACAAGAAAGAGAAAGCCCACCTGAAGCGCTATGAGCTAATTTTGCCCAAAAAGCACATCTTTGTAGTTAGTTAGATGTGGATGTTTTTGCAAGGGGTCTTATAAGCTGCTTTCGTATGATCTGTGTTGACTGGTCTAAAGACTGACTATATTTCTATATTTGTAAGGAGTGACCAAAATCACAGATATTGTTGTATTTGACTTTTGTTGTATTTGACAGTTGTATTCAGACTTTTTATGTTAATTTCATTCTATCTACAGCCAATGAAATTAGTATTTTCAATGATACATACAGTTGATGTTGTAGAAGACAAGCACCAGAGTTGTATAAAAAGCCAAACATCTTATTCTTTTAAAGCACTTAAAATTGATTTCTTCAGAAGGTAAACTGAGCCCTGCAGATAAGTAATTCTAATTCTACTTCCAAACAAGGAAATAAGCTTTTCTCAGAATAAGATCAAAATATACAAACCATCATACTGCAGTTGAAACCCACTTGCATTTTTGGATTCCAGGATGAAATGCATTTTGCCTCTCCTTTACCTGTATAGACAGAATGTGCCACTTGCATATGGATTTTGTCTTCTGTAGGAAATTTGCAAATTGGGTTTGGGACAAAAGCTGCTTATTTTTAATTTATGCTGATATGAAAGTCACTGATGTCTGGTTTCTTCATCTGTTAAGGGTTATTTGCATCTTTTCTTATCCAAGGTTGCTGGATTGGTTTGTCTATAAAGAAATAACACATTTTTAATAATACAGAAAACTACACTCATGTTTGAAAATCAAGACACCTTATATCTTCATCTCACAGCATTTTGGACTTGATATGTAACATGGCCTCTGCTTTGTGCTGCTATTAATGTCATTTACTTTTAAATATATGTGTTTTTTTTTCTTTGCACTTATATGTCTTGCATTCGCATTCTGTTTAAATTTTTAGATATCTTTAGCAGACCAGCTGAGCACTGTTACAGACCTTTTAGTGCAGCAGCTCAGAACTGATGGTCAGTTTTTGCAGAACTGAATGTTTACAAAAAACCAATTGTATCTATGCCATGTTTAGTCTCTCTTCTAAGGCAATAGTCTAATGGAGATATAGCTTCAAGCTGCAAGTATATCTGTAAGGAAAAGTCTCCCATAGTGCTCTCAAAAGTAGTCTGAAAACCTTTTAGAGAAAAGCCCATCCAAAATGCCTGCAGAGACACTCAAGTCTCAAATCAGCACTTTGAAGAGTAAGATCTAAAGAGAATTTTTGTTTGTTTTGTTTTTTTTTTTGGGTGGGGGGGAACTTGACTGGGGAAAAAAGAGCATGGTAAGCACCTTCAAGCTTCTTACCAGCAAAATGTAGCTTGTGAAGAGAAAGAAATCCTAATGAAGCAGAGCAAGTGGTGTGCTCGCTGGTTGCGTATCTGCTGACAGGTAGCTGTGATAATGATTTCCTAGAATATACATCTATTCAATGACAAAAATGTATAGAAAGAGTGCAAAATTGCATTTATGTGGCTTTGCAATAGAAAAGTATTAAGCATATAACCTAAAAAGCTTTTTCCTTCCTCAAATAATAATGTAGATTTTAAGAATGTCATACATGTATTCTGTGCAAGTATGATATTACTTCCTTTACGGGCTGGGGGAAGCAAGGAGCGATGGTGACTTACCAGATAAAGGGGAAATAGTTTAAAAATTGTATATGTTTTATTTGACAGAGAACTTTGTTTACATATGTGTAACTTGTACCGGGTGGGTTAATTCTCCCATGTGGTGCCATTTCAGAGAACTGCAGCTGCGTTGCAAGCTGTGGATGTTGTGCAGTCTGGAAGCCAGGCTACTACAGATGCTCCTGCTACTGAATTTAGGCCCCCTCCAGGTCAAAGTTCGGTCCTTCGAATCGTTGTTGAAAATCTTGTGTATCCTGTCACTTTGGAAGCACTGTATCAGGTAATGAGGACTAATCTGTTAAATACTGATAGTGTAAATCTATTAACGTTTTGTTGGGTCCTTATTTTGGTTTCTCAGTTTGAGTGAAAAATGTCGCTTCAAAAGTTGTGTTGTAATGTATGGATCTACGCTTGAATCATTCTGTAATCAGTTTTTCATGATGTCTTTTACTACTTTATTGATTAAGATAAAAAACAAAATTGTGAGCTAGCAGCAGCCAATATGGGGTGTTACTACTTTTAACATATGCCAAAATTACAGGGAAGTGAAATAATGATTCATATGAATTTAAGCAGCAAATACTTTAGCACTCTCCATACTAAGTAAATGTAGTTTGCATTATGTTTGAGGGTTTAGTATCTTTTTTTTTTCCTCTCTGTAGGCAATATTTTGTGTGAATATATTTACTTGGACAAATATATTCAATTTTTCTTCAACTGGTAGAATGTCAGCAACTTTACCCTGAGCTGATTTGAGATTATAGCTGTGAAAGACTTCACTGTAACTCCTGCAAGGGAGTTGTGCTGTGCTGTCAAGATCTAAATGCTTAAAAGCAGTAACTCTCAGAGACCATTTCTAAGTATCTGAAAAGTTTGACAGTACTTCCTTTAGATACCACATAAGGTTTTCATACTCAAAGTTTTTGAAATAACCAGTAAGTTCGGGCAACAGAGAACACACCCCAAATACATGGGATTGCTCTATTAATGTAATTTAAAATGATTAGGAATCTCTTACAAAGATACACAGTTCTGTAAGGAGATTTTTGCAGCTCTTCTTATTGGAGCTCCCCTTTAGGTTTCTATTATTGTTTGAAATGCTTAACACAAAGGTTTAGGACGGTGTGTCTTGTATCCATGGTTCTAGGCTATGTAGGTTGGTAAGAGGTGCCTGAGCGTATCTGGCGTCTCTGTCTGTTCCAGGGTTAACACTTGCCTGGAGAAAGATGGGATTTCCACTTTCCTTTACTGAGTTACCTTTTCAACTACTCTTTTCCTGGCACTGTACATCTGGCTTAAATTTGTTGTTAGTGCTTCCTTCCCAAAGTATTTTTGTTGTTGTTGCTGTTTTCCCACTATTACATGGGACACAAGTGTTTTTGTTTTTGTATGATGCAGACTAATAATGCTTTATGCCTTTTTCTTTTTTAAGGGTACTCTTTCGTGTACCTGTATATAGAACACTCCAGTTTTTAAACTTTGTGTATAATTTCAGCATTTAATAATCTTCTATAGAGCTTGCGCATGTGATAAATAACATTCTGTTGAAAATTAGAGGTTCCAAACTGGATTTTTTTCTTTCTTCCTTCCAGTTCATTTAGTTCTACTCTGCACAACTAATCTATGGAAACAAGAACTCTTTAGACTGTACCTTCAGGCACTAAATTTGCAGAACTTGTTTGACATATAGAATTTTAAATATTGAAATCTCCAAAGGCATTTGCAAGACTGCTACTAAGACACTTTTTGCTGAACATTCATTGCTAGTTCTTCTGGAAATTTTATCCCTCTTTCCCCTCCTTCCTAACATTTTCTGACATTTTCTGAAGCAAAATTCTGACAGAAAACAATTTCTGTTCAGCTCTCAAAGCAGAAATCACTCCACAAAATTATACAAAGCACTAAATCATTAGTTTTACTGTGGATGGATTTTTCATGTTTTTCAAAAGTTTTCATGTTTCCTCCTTCTCAGATTTTCTCTAAATTTGGAACTATCTTGAAGATTGTCACCTTCACAAAGAACAATAAATTTCAAGCTTTGCTTCAGTATTCTGATCCAATGAATGCAAACCATGCCAAACTGGTAAGTGAAGTGTATGCTGATACGTGCTTGTTTTGTCTGTCTAGTTTTCCATTAGTTGCCTGGTAGATAAATTCTCTTTGTGTTTTCAAGATCAAGTATATGTCATGAATTAATAAAGGTAGTTGGTCTATAACCTGTTTACTACAGTCTTTTTCTTAAAGGATAGTATTAATAGTGAATGATACCTGATTAAAAACTTCAGGGAAATTTATATTGTTACTGCTATGAATATATACTAAACTGCAATTATAGTTCTATAATTTATGACAAAACAGTAGCTTCTGAGTGGCTTTTTTCCCTTTATGTATCATTATTTTTTAATGTTATGTCTCTGGAGAAAATACTCCTTCAGTGATTTCTTGGAGCAAAATTGCAATTAAAAAGATGGATTTTCATTTTCGTGATATAAGAATTACAAAAATGCATAATTCACTGCTTCTGGCACACCATAAAAATATCAAAACTTGTGTTGCTACCAGCACCATGTGTTGAGTGGGAGACAAGTAAGACAGAAGCACATCCAGGAATGCAAGTTATCCTTGAAGCTTCGTATTCTACATTGTCACAAAGCAAAATAATTCTTGCTAGCTTTTGGACTACTCTTATACTCTATAGAGCATATTTTGGAAAGGGTAGTGACAGCATAATTTTCCACCTGACATTTGAAAGCGGCACCTTAAACAGAAAAAAGTTGTTTCTGTTTGGATACAGTTGAGGTATCAAAATATAAATTTGAAGTGGGGACTAAAGAATTTTGTTTCTGAAACCATAACTATTCTTCCTTAGACTCTAGATGGCCAGAATGTCTACACTGCATGCTGCACTCTGCGTATTGATTTCTCCAAGTTCACCAACCTTAAAGTAAAGTACAACAATGACAAAAGCAGAGATTTCACTCGGCCTGACCTTCCTTCTGGCGATGGCCAGCCCTTCCTGGGACCCAGCATAGCCACTGCCTTTGGTAAGAAATCTTCCCTGCTAATGACAAATACACACAGTCTGACCATTATGTTTTTTACATTGCATTGCCCTTGATGGATTTGTGTTCTGACTCCCTGGTGGTTCTGTTGAAAGAATCATTTCTGATTGTTAGATTCCAGTAAAATTTGCTTGGAAGATAGAAGATCCCATTGTATATGAATGAATATCTGAAACCATAACATGAAAAATGCTGTTGCGAAAATTCAAAGGATCATAAAAACTACTTTTGTATAACTGTGTGAAATTATATGGTAAGATAATATCTGCTGCACAGATAAGGTCAGTGGCACGCTCATCCAGAATTGACCCTGGTTCTCTAAAGCTGTTTGAAAATAAGTGATTTAAAGCCTGATTTCTCTTACTTTTTCAGAGTCTAAGGACAGCTGGCTGTTTTGAGGACAGTATATATTATTATTTACAATTTTAAAATATTTAAAGTATTTTTATTTATTAATGTGTATTTTATAATCATCTTTTAAAATATTAAAATTTAGAAACTCTTTTAGAATCTTAGAACACACTGCCCATTGTATAGGGATCACAATGTTTACTTGAAGATACACTGGAGAAGCCTTTTAAAAGTTGCAAATGCTCATGCATATTCACTTAATCAACTTTGGCAATAATGTAAATCATCAAAAATTAATCTGATTATTTGGAATAAGTGTTCAAAATACAACCTGAGCATCTTAACAATTTTTCTCTAATGACATCCATTAGCAGTAATACACAACTAAGAATTGCCTGCTATTGGATAACTATCTAAGGGTAATTCTTTTTGTCGGAGTAATAGCAGGATGGAAGGTGAGAGAAGAGTTCCCTTTTTTTTTTCCCTCAAATTTCTGAGATACCTATGTCAGATAATAGTTTTGGTTTGTTTTTCCGACAGCTGACCGTGATAATCTTAGTTAGACAGAAAGTGAATTGTACTTAGCTTTCTTGATTAAATTCTGCCAGTTCCCTTATAGAAAGGCTGTTTTTTGGTGTTTATGTTATAAGCAATCATTTGATTTTTTTTTTGAAGAAGTGTAATTTTTTTTAAGTCTAATA